CAAAATGCAGCAAATGGCACAATCTTAGTTTTTTTTGGATATTTATAGTTATCTCGAACCCACAGCAAACAACAATAAGAACAACCAAAACTACAGCTGCAACAACTAAAACATAATGTTGAATCTAGCATTGTTCAATCTTAATTTAAAAAAGTTGTTACCAAGCAAGATCACCTAAATTTAATTATTTATGCAAAAAATGGCCTTACCTGCAGGAGAACTATCCAACACACAAAGATCAAAGGCACCATCATGGCCTGCTCTATGCGGCTGACATAGTCCTACGTCCCACTGAACTAATGCCATGTTCTCTGGTACGCTGGAGGAATCCCCTCCGAGATCAACAACTGTTCCAACAAAACCTTCCTTGCCATCAGTTTCATCCACATTCCAGCTGGGACCACAGACAACACGAAGCCCTGCACTGTAAGACTTGGTACCTTCTGCATACAGGGACAAAATAATTCAACAACAAAAGTGACAACACTACCTTCACTATAGTTTCAATATACAGTTAATAACTAAGCTGGGCTAACTGATTACATGAATTGAAGAATAATTTAGATGTTCAATAATATTTAAATTACATGTACTGTACTCTGCCAGATTGGGGGTTTAAGCCAATTTTGAGTGTCGGTTTGCAAGTACATTAACATTTATCTGGTGGTTTACGGTTAAGAATTTATTGCACAGTTGTGGGAAATCAAAAATTTAGCATGCAATAAATTTAGGCACGGGCAAGTCACTCGATTGGCAGGAAAAGTTACTTGTCCTCGACAACTGAACGGCCCTTTTCTCAAGCTCTGTGCTGTCTGTGGATGTAGTTTTTCTAAAGCTTGAAGCAGTAAAATGAAATTAAGAAAAAGAAAAACAACTTAAGAAATCAACTTACGCAAGTGTTTTGTAAAATAGCGTCTGCATGCCAAGTAGTCCTCTTTGTTAATAGTTGTTTTCAAAGTTAAGGACTCGATGTCAAATTTTTTCCTGATTTTCTCGGTCACAAGGCAACTCTCTGCTACTTCATTGAGGTGACCCGATTGGTAACTGGTCCACAGTCTTTCTAGAGTGTCCAATGTATGGCACTGTACCACGAAAATCAGACTGCTTGACTTAATCAGTTTTACGTGTAGACCGGTAAAAACCCCTAACAAAAAGGTATTGTAGGCTTTCAGCCCTTCTTGCGTGGAAATGTCATTGCTATCAAGATAATCCGTAGCTATTTTCCTCATAATTTGTTGGAACTCCTGTTGTCTCTGGGAATGGTTCTGTGGGTTTCTGGTAGTAACACTTTCTACATTGATTTCCATGGACAAACTTCCTGTAGAAGTAGGCAAAGAAATAATTTTATGTCAATCCTAATCATCTCATTTGTATGTGTTTTACGTCTTAGAGGCTTAATGTTGATACATGTAGCCTCTTCCAGGCATAGTGAGTTACAGTAAAAACCTGCATAAAAGAACAAGTGGATTAAGCACATTCAGGCTGAAATTTGGTCAAAAAAGTACCATATACATATGAACACATTTAGCCTAAAAGATGAAAATTGTTCTTATATAAAAAAAATTGGCTGCCAGTTAGATTAGAATAACCTACTACTGGGTACAGTACTAAGTAGATCAATATATCTGCTAGACCATTGCACACATAGAGTTTCACAGCAGGTATGGGAATTTCCAGGGTACATTTAGCAATTGTTTTTGGACTTGGCTTATGTATGTAACTAAATGACTGTTACCTTCTGTCAATCACATTCTTTATTTGCTGCAGACACAACATGCCGACATGAAATCCATTAATTAATTAAAATGTTGTGCTTGCACATTGATTTTATCTGTTGGTAGTCTATGCAGTATTTAATTTTCAGAAACAATTTTAAGAACACCTTAAGAACATTTTCAGGCTGATTTTGCAGAAAACACCCGATATATAAGAACAAAATCGGCCTGAACCCCCAAAACATGTGTTCTTTTATGCAGGTTTTTACTGTAGTTGGAGCACAGTGCAGAAAACGGGGAGCGGAAAATAGGGCAGAAGTGCAGTGATAAAATTTCCCTCGCCACACTTCTCCCCTATTTGTTCTCTCATCGTTTTTCGAGCTGCACCTAAACAACTTAACGCATGGCAGAAGCTAGAGGCTTGAAACCTAGTAAGTATTTCACGTCAGTTAAAGGAGAAGGTCACTCCAAAAAGCTTACTTTTTTTGTCTTTGCCTATAGCAAGTAAACATTCAGCTTTTCCACTCACCTAAGTTTCAGCCTCTGAAGTGCCTGCTATCCTGAAGAAATTAGTCTCGAAAGAAGCAACTTAGGAGGCTGCCATTTTGAAATGGTCTTGTCAGCCAGGCTGTGTTTTTGTGACGTCATTCCATCCGACTTAAAATTGGCGGGAAGGAGAAAAACCTGCCACTGACTTGGCATCCTTCACAAAGTCAGCAAAATCTATTTTTTCCCAGTGATTATCCACTTCACTATCTTTAATGCTATCATTTCGGAGTTTGGAGCATGTTTGGCTCAAAATAATATGGCTCAAGAGCAGCCATAACCCAGAGTGGCAGTTAAAAGGCTCTTTGGAAGCCATTTGGACAAAATATCTCGGACGGAATGACGTCACAAAAACACGACCTGGCTGCTGAGTACTGTTCAAAATGGTGACAACGATGTTCGAATTTTGAGCTTCTTTGGAGACGAATTTCATAAGGAAAACCTGCACTTTAGAGGTTGAAACTTTGGTGAGTGGCTAAACTTAGAGCAAGGCTTTTATTAGTGTTGACAAAAAATATACGTTTTCTGGAGTCGCCTTCTATGCTTGCAAGGATCATGGAAACACAATTAGTCAACTTCACTCCCTGATTTATGCAAGTGCATTTCAGAATGATACCCCAAACTACTGGACAGGTATGATTACTTCCATCCCAACATAGACACATAAAGTGGCTTAGCAGGTAATTTTGTTTTTAACAAGGTGAACAGGAATTGTATACCAGTTGACCACAACAACAACCAAACAACCATTTCATTTTGCCAGATTTACAAGAAAAGAAAAAAACTCCATAAAAACAATTAAATTAATTAGGCAAGAAAACTACCCAGAACAGTAAGAAAACTAAACAAGCTGCATTTCAAGCTCGACCAGCAGATAGAAAAAAATCAATATGCTTTTTTAGTCAGCATTAAGCATTAAAGTAAGTACTTATTTTAAGAAATGTTTAGTCATAGCTTACATAAAGGAAGGAAAGGATAAACCTTTTTAATTCTTCATCCAAATTAATTCCAAAAAGGACCAAAGAATGCAAACTAAATTTGCCAAAGTTAAGTTCTTACATGATCGATACAGTAAGTTGATTTTGATTACAATAGTAATTAGTGCTTAGATGATATACGTGAGAAGAAATTGTCAAAGGCCTTAGGTAGTAAATGATGACCTTTTAGATCTACTTGCCTTTAAAATTACCCTAGCGAGTCAAGAGTGTATTCTGAAGGATTAAAGTCAAACCTCCCCACAATGGCCACTTAGGGACAGAAGAAAGTGGCTGTAGTAGAGAGGTGGCTGTTATGGGAAGGTAGGGGTGTAATACGACACTCTTTTTTTGGGGGAGGGGTGCAACATTTTGGATCTTGAAAATGCTTGTTTTAGCATGTAAATACATAACACTATCAAAACATATCTACAGCTGTATAAAACAGAAACTAAACAGAAACAGAGACTAAAGACGTGCTAAAAAAGGAGGTTTTGTATATAAGGCTCATCAGTTGTTAAACTGGCTGTTGACAAAAGGTTATTTTTAGCAGTTGGGATGTGCTTTAATGGCCATTGCCATTGTGGAGAGTTGGTTGTTGATTAAATGTATGGACTGTCCACCGGGATAAAAAAAGTTGCAGTGGCCGATGTAGAGAGGTAGCTGTTAGAGAAAATTTGACTGTACATGTATTATCATACGCACCTATAGACACACTACTCTGGAAGACCCATCTTTCGTTTGCTTTCTTTTTTACAATGTAATATAGAACTAGCTCTGAAACAAATTTTCCTTTGAAGTGTAATCAGCTGGACAAAATGTCCAGGCATCCAAAGATTTGACTGGACAAAACCAATTTTTGACCAGACATTGTCTGTTGACTGGCCATTATTTTAAACCCTGATATAACACCAAAGATCAGTTCATTACTCTTTGGCAGCCTTTGGTTTCAAAAAATTGTTTACCACCCATCGACTGACTGACTGACTGAGCAAGTGAATTTAATCTCTTCCCTAGCTAACTACCATAACTCATTCTCACTACGCTATCGCTCATTAAAATGGGCAGCACAGTGTATGAAAAGACACCAGATCCATGAATTTAATTCGTCCTAATTGAGAAAATAAAGGACTGGAGTGTGGATCAAGTTTGGAAAATGCAATTATTCGTACTGCCTTTGACAGGTGTGGAATAAAAATTTTGATTGGCTTCTTTGCTTGTTGCTTATTCTAATTTAATACAATGACATGGTGCAGTCAGTGGAACATACTTTTGACCCACTCACAATCACTCATCCTCATCATCCTGGCTGGGATGATGACTAGCATGAGTTGATTAGTAGTAATAGTTCAGAGGGTCAGCAACTAAAATCAACCAAACAGATTGCTCCATATGTGTACACTTACTACTAACAATAGTTGATTTAATTTATATTCAGAGCACGTGTGTAGTAAGTAGCTCCCCTATACATAATTATGTACATTCAAACAATTTTAAGATTCAGTGTTATTGGCATTGTTACAATACATACATACACACATACACGCATACATACTTTATTGGCTCGTCCCCACAGGGCTTTTCAGAGCCAATTTTACATTACAAAATTAAAAACTAAGTACATGACAATGATAAAAGAAGATAAAGATTACTGAAATT